CTCCACATAAAACCATTCTTTCTCCTTGCCTATTTTTTTGCCAGTAATTTCCAGCTTTGACATCATGTTTGGTTCTTTGTTCTTTTTATTCACCATTGGCTCTTAGAGGATTCATTCATACAACTGATAATAGATCTTGATAACATTAATATATATCTGCCTGATCAAAGATGTAGTCACAGACCTTTTATAGTAATCAATATGTATTCCTGCCAGTGCTTAGCACTCTACTACATAATTTCATCTAGATACACTTCTGTCATCTTAGACTCATCTTCATTAAAGAGCTTTACTCTCCAGCATTCCCTTATCTGACAGCCATAATTTCTGTCATCTCCAATTAAAACCTTGGAGTCATTTGATTTTCCTCTTGTTCCTTGTTGCTCTAGCCAGCCACTTTACTTTTGTTGTTGTTGTTTTAAAAAGAGATAGGGTCTCACTTTGTTGACCAGGCTGGACTCCCAACTCCTGAGCTCAGGTGACCATCCTCCCTCCGCTTCCTGAGTAGTTGGGACTTCAGGCATGCAGCATGACACCCAGCTTTAGCCAGCTACTTTACCAAGTCTGGTTATTTCTTACTTTTATTGGTATCCTGAATCCATCTCTTCTTTTCCATTTCTGTTAGTATTAACCTACTTTTTTAGTATTTTTACTAAAATGGCTTATGCATGATCTCTATTAATTCCTACAACTCTGTGAGTAGTGTTTTTATCTGGAGATGGCTTATTAATACTCACCATTTAGTAGGCAGCACAGCAAAGGTATAAACTCAAGTTGAGAGCCTTCATACTTTAATATTTTATGTCATTAGCTTGAGAATATAAACATGTTGAAAGTTAAGTGCAATCACAATATGAATAAATTAAAATAGAAAACACCCAGCTGGCCACAGTGCCTCACACCTGTAATCTCAGCATTTTGGGAGGCCAATGTAGGTGGATCACCTGAGGTCAGGAGTTGGAGACCAGCCTGGCCAACATGGCGAAAACCTGTCTCTACTAAAAATACAAAAGTTAGCTGGGTGTGGTGGCACATGCCTGTAATCCCAGCTACTCGGGAGGCTGAAGCATGAGAAACACTTGAACTTGGGGGATGGAGGTTGCAATGAGCCAAGATAGCACCAGTGCAGTCTAGCCTGGGCGATGGAGTGAGACTCTGTCTCAAAAAAAAAAAAAAAAAACTCAAAATTTCGAATAGGTTTTTTAAACTACTCTTTTTGTTTAGTCACATAGTATAGTGGATAAAAGCACAGAATTATAGAAACATCTAGTTTGAGTCCTAATTTTGCCACTTATAAACATGGGACCCTTACTCAAACTATGCTTTAGTTTGCCCCTTTACAAATAGAAGGTAATTTGATATTAACCTTAATAAGGTGGTTTGTGATAATTGAGACTTTATATGTAATGACTTAATAAGCATAAAAATATTCCTGATAATCCCTGGTATATAACAATTATTCAGTGAAGTTAGCTCGTTATTACTATAGTTTAGTGGTGTTTGGACATTTTAGCTAAGGGCTCTTGTTTGGAACACCTGTAAATGAAGGGGACTAAAAGCATTATTTCACTAATTTAAATATATATCAAAAGTTATTTTACACTCCCTGGCACCATAATCCCTCCTATTCACTCTCTTCCCCACTTCCCATACCCAAATATACATCCTGTATGTCTGATAGAATTATAAAGGTGACTGAGAAACATATTAGAAAGTTAGAACTTTCCAGCCAGGTTCAGTGGCTCATACCTGTAATCCCAGCACTTTGGGAGGCCAAAGCAGGTGGATCTCCTTACTCAGGAGATTAAGGCCAGCCTGACCAACATGGTGAAACCTCATCCCTACTAAAAATACAAATTAGCCAGGCATGGTGGTACATGTCTGTAATCCCAACCGCTTGGGAGGCTGAGGCAGGAGAATTTCTTGATCTCGGGAGGCAGAGGTTGCAGTGAGCTGAGACTGCCATTGCACTCCAGCCTGGACAACAAGAACAAAACTCCATCTCAAAATAAAAAAAAAAAAGGAAAGGAAAGTTAGAACTTTCCATTATGTTAAAATTTTGTATAGAGCAAAATGTGTATACTTTTTTTTTTTTGCAGTTTTTCAAAGGATAAAAAATAATAGCTAATTTAAACTTTGGTGAAGTCAGCAAACTTTCTTTTTTCTTTTCTTTTATTTTCTGAGACGGAGTTTCATTTTTGTCACCCAGGCTATCCTCCATTCTTCTCTTCCAGGCTAGAGCTCAGTGGCACAATCTCAGCTCACTGCAACCTCTGCATTCCGTGTGCAGTTTTCCTGCCTCAGCCTCCCAAGTAGTTGGGATTACAGGTATACGCCACCATGCCCAGCTAATTTTTGTGTTTTTAGTAGAGACGGGGTTTCACCTGTTGGCAAGGCTGGTCTCGAACTCCTGACCTCAGGCAATCTTCCTTCCTCAGCTTCCCAGAGTGCTGAGATTACAGGCATGAGCCACCACACCTGGCCAAATTGAGCAATTGTTCTAAAGTAACTATTCTATATTGAGTTAAACTCTTCTACCTAGTTTCAAGGTTTGTGTAATTGGATTCCTATTTCTTTTTCCCTTTTTCTCAATATAAACTTTTAGCTCAGATTCTCATATAAACTTACACCCTATTATGCTCCATCCTGTCTTCCTGTCTTCCACAACTGCTGTTCAGTTTTACCCATGATGCTTATCCTCCATTCTTCTCTTCCGTCATAAGCACCCAGCTCTCTTCAGTTTATTTTCACCCAGCACCTGGCATATTTGTGGCACCTTTACTTTTTCTTCCTATTCTCTGTCATTATCTATAAAGTTTTTCTCAAAGTGTAGACCACAAACTGTTTCTGGTCATAATGAGATAAAGGGCTTACTTCACTACGTAAGTCAACTATTGCATAAAGCATACTGTTTTGTTTAGCGGATTTTTTAAGCAAGGTTTTCCTTTCTTTTTTTTTTTTGAGACGGACCTCTGCCTCCTGGGTTCAAGCAATTCTCCGGCCTTAGCCTCCTGAGTAGCTGGGATTACAGGTATCTGCTACCACACTTGACTAATTTTTTAATTTTTAATAGAGGTGGGGTTTTACCATGTTAATCAGGCTAGTCTCGAACTCCTGACCTTGTGATCCACCCACCACCCTTGGCCTCCCAAAGTGCTGGGATTACAGGCAGGAGACCTTGTGATGCACCCACCGCCCTTGGCCTCCCAAAGTGCTGGGATTACAGGCAGGAGATACTTTTTTTTTGAGATGGAGTCTTGCTCTGTCACCCAGGCTGGAGCGATTTCAGCTCATTTCAACCTCCCCTTCCTGGGATCAGGTGATTCTGCCTCAGTCTCCTCAGTAGCTGGGATTACAGTCGTATACCACCACACCCAGCTAATTTCTTTTAGTGCTTTTAGTAGCGATGGGATTTTACTATGTTGGCCAAGCTGGTCTCAAACTCCTGACCTCAAGTGATCCGCCTGCCACAGCCTCCCAAAGTGCTGGGATTACAGGCATGAGCCACCACAGCAAGCCTTTAAGCAATGTTTTCTTGAAACAAATTCCTTCTCATAGAAAAGAAAAAAGATTTTCTTGGAGTCTAAAGCTGGGTGTGGTGGCTCAAACCTGTAATCTCAGCACTTTGGGAGGCCAAGGGTGGTGGGTGGATCACAAGGTCAGGAGTATAAGACCAGCCTGATCAACATGGTGAAACCCCGTCTCTACTAAAAATACCAAAATTAGCTGGGCATGGTGGCACGTACCTGTTATCCCAGGTACTCAGGAGGCTGAGGCAGGAGAATCACTTGAACCCAGGAGGCGGAGGTTGCAGTGAGCTGAGATCGAGCCACTGTGCTCCACCCTGGGTAAGAGAGTGAGACTCCATGTCAAAAAAAAAAAAAGTCTCTCCGTTGCCCAAGCTGGAATGCAGTGGTGCCAAATTGGCTCACTACAACCTCCGCCTCCTGGATTCAAGTAATTCTCCTGCTTCAGCTTCCAGAGGAGCTGAAGGCTGCCGTAACACCCAGCTAATTTTCGTGTTTTATTTTTTTTTAATAGAGTTGTGGTTTCACCATGGTGGCCATGCTGGTCTTGAACTCCTAACCTTAAGTGATCCGCCTGCCTCACCTCCCAAAGTGCTGGGATTACAGGTGTGAACCAGCACACCTGGCCTGAAGCAAGATTTTATTGATGAGATAGCTGTGTATTGGTTCATATTCTGGTGCAAACTCCCTTATCTTGTTGGAGACCAACACTTCCAGTAAACTCGTCTATACCATAGAAGTTAACATTTTAATCCTGTCAGATATACAGTATATTGATGGAGAGTCAGGCAGAGAATAAATGGCAGGGATTATGGTGGTAGGGAGTATTAAAGGACTTTATTCATTGGTTTTGGTCTTTCAGCATCTGAATTTCTGTTCTGTATTTTGAATTCCTTCCTTTATGATTTTTGGTGGGAAGCTTAACCTGCTTGTTCCTATAGCCAGGTACTTGCTTTGCCTGCCTCCCTTTTGCTGTATAACATGTGAGCTGTGGACTTGGTCTAGCAAATGCGTCAGTACAGACAGCATCTTCGGAGCTGGGGACATGGAAAAGGAGGAACTTCATGAACGCTGTCAGTGGTGATAGTAACAAATGCAGTGGTGTTTTCCTAGGTCCAAGTCTGCTGCAGTTTTGAACTTCCTTGGTTGTGTAGCCTATAAATTGGGTTCTCTGAAGATTGTTATCCACCAGATATCTTTTCATAAATGTATATTTTACTTAAATTAGCCAAACTAGGTTTTTTGTTGCTTCCAGCTAAGAACACCGACTGGAAAAAAATACTAACAAAACAAAACAAAACACCTTATACGGTTACAGTTACTTTAAGCAAGCTGATCACAAGCAAATCTTGTTTTCTCTTAAATTACACATGAAGTTTTAAAATGTTTTAGGCTTGCTCTGTGAGACGTGTAGACAGTACAAATTCTAAATAATAATGATTTCATTTCAGTATTTGCATTTTAAATTTTCAGTGTGTTTTACGGACCATGTGCTGCTATGTATGCCTGAAGAAGTACTTGAAATGCAAATTTGGGGAGACTTTGCCATATAAATGCTTGGCTGGATTAAGCGCCTAATTAGGATGGTTTTTCAACAAGTTGGAGTAAGCATGCAATCGGTGAGTGCTCAAAATTCATTTTTAAGATCTCGACATTTAGATATTTTAAGAATTTTCTGTGAGAAAATGAAATAAATCTATATATGACCAACATTTTGAATTCAATATGTTTATGCACTGTTTAATTTGCTTTCTATTTAAATCATAGAAGTGAATCTTTTCCTAGCATCCGAAATAAGGAAGTAACTTTCTGGGTTACACTGAAAACTTATCAATATTCATGTGACCATTAAGAGCAATACATTTGTTATTAGTGAGGAAAAGGCTTAAATAAGCAGAGAAATCATTGCATAAAATATGCTTGGCTAACACTTGACAGTGCTTTTAATGTTGTAGAATTATTAACACTGAATGCTGTTATAATATGGTTTATCACATAATTGTTTAAAAGGCAAGTTACGTCTCTTACAAATAACAACTGATAAGAAAAAAAGATGCTATATTATAATGATTGTCCTATGCTAGAGATGTTAGTTTTCATCTTGACTTTATATTTTCTACCAATATAAAAATTTTGTTCAGACCTATAAGTTATTAGAGCAATTATTGTGCCAAGCACATTTTGTAGAATACTTTGTTTTACATTTTCAAATTCATTTTTTTCATGACTATGACATGTAATTAAATTTTATTTATTGAAGAACAGGTTATATAATTTGAATATATATATATATATTTTTTTTTTTGAGAGGGAGTCTTGCTCTGTTGTCCAGGCTGGAATGCTGTGGAGCAATCTCAGCTCACTGCAACCTCTGCCTCCCAGGTTCAAGCGATCCTCCTGCCTCAGCTGCCTGAGTAGCTGGGATTACAGGCGCGCACCACCATGGCCGGCTTATTTTTGTATTTTAGTAGAGATAGGGTTTCACCATGTTGGCCAGGCTGGTCTTGAACTCCTGACTGCCCGCCTCGACCTCCCAGAGTGCTGGGATTATGGGCATAAACCACTGTGCCTGGCAGAATATGGGTATACTTTTTAGCACACTTTTCCTTTTTTGTTTTTGTGCCTGAACTTTGAATCTCCCCAGCTTTCAAGGTTACATCTGTTTTCTTTGGAGATAAAAAGTAGAGAACCAAATAAAATTATCTTTGTTACAGCTGCATAATTTTGAGATCTTTACCTTGAGGATAAGCAATAGGAAAATGACTTGTAAATTTATTGGTATTTTTATCTCTTTCAGATATATGTTCCTGTGTTTTAAATTTTACTTAGTGGCCAGGCGTAGTTCTCAAGCCTGTTATCCCGGCTCTTTGGGAGACAGGAGAATGGCTGGAGCCTAGAAATTCAAGACCAGCCTGGGCAATGTAGTGAGACCTTGTCTCTACAAAAAATTTAAAAAATTTAGCTGGGAATGGTGGCACATACCTCTAGTCCCAGCTAGTTGGGAGGCTATGGTGGGAGGATCACTTGAGCCTGAGAGGCAGAGGTTGCAGTGAGCTGAGATCGCACCACTGTACTCCAGCCTGAGTGACAGAGCAAGACCCTATCTTTAGGAGAAGAAAAAAAAAAACTTAGCTGAGTTTCTTCATGGTATGGATTGGCATTTTAGTAATGACAGCAAAAGTTTATTTTTCTCTTGCTTGCAGAAAGAAGGGAACTTTTTGTTATTTATGATTTCCAAAAACCAAAGCTTTATAATTTCTATTTGTTGTAATTTTAGTAAGAAGTATAGTTTATTGGTAAGATTGTGGGTCCTGGATTTAAAAACACTTGGGTCTGAATTTTGTCTCTGCCAGTTATTCTCTTCACCTGCAAAGTAGGAATAAGAATTGCAGGCTGGGCACGGTGGCTCAAGCCTGTAATCCTAGCACTTTGGGAGACCGAGGCGGGTGGATCATGAGGTCGAGATCGAGACCGTCCTGGTCAACATGGTGAAACCCCGTCTCTACTAAAAATACAAAAAATTAGCTGGGCATGGAGGCACGTGCCTGTAATCCCAGCTACTCAGGAGGCTGAGTCAGGAGAATTGCCTGAACCCAGGAGGCGGAGGTTGCGGTGAGCCGAGATCACACCATTGCACTCCAGCCTGGGTAACAAGAGTGAAACTCTGTCTCAAAAAAAAAAAGAAGAATTGCTACTGCTGAGTTACCTGTGGATGAAATGACAGTGTATGTAAAGCATCTAGCACAGTGGCTTGTATAGTGTAGGTACATTCAATAATGGTTAGTTTATTATATATTTGCTCTGTTACTAGCCTCCTACCCCAACAGGTCAGTGTGAGTAGTGCTACCTGAAGCCAAAGTGCAGAATTCTGTTTCAGACACAGATAGCATGCTTCATTTAGCTTGTTGGCTTTAAGCTGGAAAATGGGTGCCTTTCATCAACGAATGGACCAGCTAAGGGAGGATTAACTTGCTCAAAATATTGTAATTGCAGCTGAGAGTCCTTCCTAGTAATTGCAGATTAGCAAAATCTACTTTTTTTTTTTTTTTTTTTTGAGATGGAGTCTCACACTGTTACCCGGGCTGGAGTGCAGTGGCGCAGTTGACTCACTGCAACCTCCACCTTCCGTGTTCAAGTGATTCTCCTGCCTCAGTCTCCCAAGTAGCTGGGATTATAGGTGCCTGTCACCACACCCAGCTAGTGTTTTGTATTTTTAGTAGAGATGGGATTTTACCATGTTGGTCAGGCTGGTCTTGAACTCCTGACCTCAAGTGATCCACCTGCCTCAGCCTCCCAAAGTGCTGGGATTACAGGTGTGAGCCACCATGCCTGGCCTGCAAAATCTATTTTTGACTTACTGAAGCTAGCATGTAATCATCAACTTTAATCAGTTAGCTGAAAATTCATATAAAAATAAATTTTCTTTCAACATAAAACAATGTAATCTTTTAGGGTTAACTAATTTCCAATTTTTTTAAGCTTGTTGCCTAAGAATAAAAATATAGAGGAATCTTTCAAGATTTTATACTTGGGCACCTGAAAATAAAAGAAGCTTTCTTAGCTCTATCTTTCAGTGATTAACATGTATTTTCCCACTGATCTGACATATACAGGCATACCATGAAGATACTGTGAGTTTGATTTCAGATCACCACTATAAAGTGATAACGAAATAGAGCTAATCACTTTTTTTTGTTTTGAGATAGTCTCACTCTATTGCCCAGCCTGTAGTACAGTGGTGTGCTATTGGCTCACTGCAGCCTGCACCTCCCAGGTTCAAGTGATTGTCCTGCCTTAGCTTCTTGAGTAGCTGAGATTACAGGCATGTGCCACCACGCCACGCTAAGTTTTTTGTATTTTTAGTAGAGACAGGGTTTCACCACGTTCTTCATCTTGCACTTTTATGTTATGGAAATGGCTTTTTTTTCTCATGTCTCATTAACCAACCTCTGCTAGCTTCAACTTTTCTTTTGTAGCTTCCTTGCTTCTCTCAGCCTTCACAGAAGTGAAGAGAGTTAGAACCTTGCTCTGGATTAGGCTTTGGCTTAAGGGAATGTTGCGGCTTGTTTGATATTTTATCCAGGATACAATTTTCTTTATATCAGAAATAAGGCCTTCTTGCTTTCTTATCATTCATGTGTTCACTGTAGTAGCACTTTAAATTTCCTTGAAGAACTTTTCCTTTACATTCACAACTTGGCTAACTATTTGGTGCTAGAGACCTAGTTTTCGGCCTCTCCGTTCAACATGCCTTCCTCACTAAGTTTAATACTTTCTATCTAGCTTTTGATTTAAAGTGAGAGACACACAATGAGACACTTCTTTTCACTTGAACACTTGGAGATCATTGTAGGATTAAACTGGCCCAATTTTAGTCTTGTTTTGTCTCAGAATAGAGAGGTCGGAGATTGGGGAATAGCTGGTGGGTGGAACAATCAAAACACACATAATATTTATCAATTGAGTTCATGTCTTATGTGTGCTTGTGGCACCCCAAAACAAAGTAGTAACAAATAACATCAAAGATCACTGATCATAGATCACCATAATAGATAGAATAATAAGGCGCAAATTGGGGCCTGTGGCAGGAGCAGGTGGGGAGAAGGGGAGGGAGAGCATTAGGACAAATATATAATGCATACGAGGCTTAAAACCTGGGTGATGGGTTGATGGGTGCAGCAAACCACCATGCACATGTATACCTATGTAACAAACCTGCATATTCTGCACAAATTTCCCAGAATTTAAAGCAAAATTAAAAAAAAAAAAATGGCTGGGCATGGTGGCTTACGCCTGTAATCGCAGCACTTTCAGAGGTGGAGGGAGGTGGATCATCTGAGGTCGGGAGTTCGAGACCAGCTTGATCAACATGGAGAAACCCCATCTCTATTAAAAATACAAAATTAGCTGGGCATAGTGGCACGTGCCTGTAATCCCAGTTACTCAGGAGGCTGAGGCAGGAGAATCACTTGAACCCGGGAGGAAGAGGTTGTAGTGAGCCAAGATTGTGCCATTACACTCCAGCCTGGGAAACTAGCAAAACTGTGTCTCCAAAAAAAAAAAAAAAAAGCATAAGTTTGAAATACTGTGTGAATCAGCAAAACATGACAGATGTGAAATGAGCACATGCTGTTGGTGAAATAGCGCCAGTAGACTTGGCTTGACACAAGGTTGCCATAAACCTTAAATTTGTTTTTAAAAAAAAAAAACAATGTATCTGATTGCAGTAAAGTGAAGGGTGATAAAACAAGATGTGCCTTTAAATGAGTTTTTTTGTTTGTTTGTTTTTGAGAGGGAGTCTTGCTCTGTTGCCCAGGCTGGAGTGCAATGGCGTGATTCAGGCTCATTGCAACCTCTGCTTCTTGGGTTGAAGTGAGTTTCCTGCCTCAGCTCTCTGAGGCTGGGATTACAGGCATCTGCCACCATGCCCAGCTAATTTTGTGTTTTTAGTAGGGATGGGATTTCACCATGTTGGCCAGGCTGGTCTCAAATTCCAGACCTAAGGTGATCCACCTGCCACGGCTTCCCAAAGTGCTGGAAATACAGGTGTGAGCCACCATGCCCAGCCTTTTAAATGAATTTGATACTGTGCTTGAAAGCATTCCAAGAGTGAAAACTGCCTTCATCCTTTATTTAATCTGTTTTGTTGTTTTTTTTTTTTTTTTTTAAAGAAAAAAAGGCTTGCATGCCTGTAATCCCAGGACTTTAGGAGGCTGAGGTGGGAGGATCACTTGATTCTAAGAGTTAGAGGCTAGCCTGGGCAATATAGTGAGAGAGCATCTCTACAAAAATTAGCTGGGCATGGTGGCATGTGCCTATAGTCCCAGCTACTTGGTAGACTGAGGTGGGATGATCACTTGACCCTGGGAGGCGGAGGATGCAGTCAACTGAGATCATACCACTGCACTCCAGCCTAGGATATAAGAGTGAGACCCTGCTTTCAAAAAAATAAAAAGAAATTACAAGGTTTTAGACCAGACTTTGTTTTATTTTTCCCATTGGAACAGCCAGTGGTGATTGGCTCATTGTCTTTGACTCTGAACACTAACACTACTGTAATAGCTATTCTGCTTGGCTTACTATGCCAGTGCTTACTGTACACAGTGCTTTTACATAAATTGCCTGTGTTCAGTAGAACAATGCACTTTACAGATGAGAAACCTGAGGTTCAGGGTATTTAACTGTCTTGACCAAAGTTACCTAAGTAGTACAACTGTAACATGAACCCAATTCTGATTCCAAAATCCTTTCTCTTTTCAGTGTACTTTGCTACTTCTTACAAGGGAAAGATGACTGTTGATGTTTATTGAAAACATCATAAATGGCCTCGTGCAGTGGCTCACACCTGCAATCCCAGAACTTTGGGAGGCTGAGGCAGGCAGATCACCTCAGGTCAGAAGTTTGAGACCAGCCTGGCCAACACAGTAAAATCCTGTCTCTACTGAAAATACAAAAATTAGTCGGGCATGGTGGCACATGCCCATAGTCCCAGCTACTTGGGGGGCTGAGGTAGGGGAACCGGCTTGAACTTAGGAGGCAGAGATTGCAGTAAGCAGCCATCATGCCACTGCATTGTAACCTCGGCAACAGAGCAAGACTGTCTCAAAAGCAAAACAAAACTAAAACCGCTATAGTAATACCTTAACTCATTTTTTTTTGTTACTTTTTTTATTCTTTTTTTTTTTTCTAATAATACCTTAACTCATTTAATGCTTGTAGGCTCATGAAGTAGACAATGTCTCCATTTTATAGGTGAGAAACAGAAGCATAGAGGGATGAATAATTTGGCCAGCTTTGCACAGGCAGTAAGTTGGTAGAGGCTAATTTTAAAGCCATGCCTATATGCTACAATGGAGTGTTTTCTCTTTATTGCCTTTTATTTTCCTTCAACATTTGTTTGAATTTAAAACTATGTGCTCACGTATCTCTAACTTTTTATGTCCCCAGGCAAAAATGTCTTTAAACTGCAGGAAGTGAGAATAGTGTGAAGCTAATGTGATTCTGATTAATTTCAGTATTTTATTATTATTTTTACTTTTTAAATGGTTTTATTTTATGTGCAAATAATGAACAGATGTTGTACCCATAAATTCTACTTTCCAAAAACAGGAGCTTTTTAAAAGAAAACCAAGTTACTTTTAAAAGGCATTGGGATTCCTCTGCTTCTAGATCATTGGTAGGCTAGAAGAATAAAGTTTGTTCTACCAGGAATCACAAGTTGAAACTGAGTATTCTCCAAAGTGGAAATTGTAGAGTGTAGTGTCACTCCAGGCAAAGATTACTCAGTTCTCCTCCCCAACATCCAAAACTACCTATCAGAAGGGTTAAACCAGGTCAGAACAGTCCAGCACAATTAGGCTTCATCAAACAATATCATTATGCTCTTCTGAGATACAAATAAACCAAAACAGGAAATACTGAAATCAAATAGTATTTGACACTGTCATACAAATTGTTACTTCCTTGTCATATCCCCCCCTTCTATAACATTAATAAAGGGAATATTTTACTGCAAAGGATATTTTATTTTATACATCACTAACCATGAATTTTTGCCTTACTTATTATACAAAGGCTGCCCTGTGCCATTGTCCAAATGGAATAAGCATTTTACATCCACAATTCACTTCTGTAGTTATAAGCAGAATTTTCATGATTTACGTAAGTACATCTGTCAGTGAAGATTTAACACTGAGATGGCAATGTAACATCAGTAATATCTGATGTTTTATAGATGGCAGTGCAGAAAAGGTATATTTTAATCATTTTTCATTTAAGTGACCTTATGTAAAAAATACACTAATAATTTAGCAGTTCCAAGTTTCCAAAGGGCATTTTCAAATGCACATAAAAGAAATGGTTACAGAGATTTTAAAGAAGCGTCTTCCATATCCACATCCTCTTGCAACTGCTGTACCATTTTCTCTTCCAAATGCTTCCCTTTGCCTGCAAGAGGGGCTCAGATAAGTTGGATGTTTTGCTTGACTTCTTCGATATCCTGAACTTTCTGTAGCTCTTTATTTTTCTTCAGTCTGTTCATTATAAATTTAGTTTGGCGTTTCTGTTTGATCTCTTCAACTCTCTTCATTGCATCGATAGATAGTTTATTCCATAGCTCTCACTGGTATTTGGTAGGTTCATTTCTACGCTTTTCAAATTCAAATGAATTATCCACTGTAAGCTCTTTACCAGCTGCTTTCCGGAATGCTTTGGTCCACCTAACTTTGCAAGGATTGCGCTTCTTTTTAAAGTTTGTATGACATGCAGATTTACAAAATCTGAACACCTTGCAATCGTTGCGTACAAACATCATGCCCTGGCCAGGGTAGATGGGCCCGGAACAGAAATAACCCTTCTCGATACGCATGTTGAACCCGCGTGGGTCCCCACTGACCAAACATTAAGCTTCAAAGCAATTTCAGTATTTTATGTTGGAAGTAAAGTTACTATAGCAAGTATCTGTAATAATTTGTATTAGCAATATAGTAATACATAAGAACTGTACTCTGGTTTTCCTTTTGTGCTTTGGAGGAGGAACCTGAGTAAGGAAGAGAACTGAGGAAAGTGTTAATCTTTTGTTAAGGATTTAAAAATTGTTACAGATTGTATCTTCCCATTTCTATTCCTTCCTGCTTACCAACACACACTTTTAATTTTCCCTTAGTTCCCTGAGAATTAAGAATTTACATTTCGTTCTGTCCTGACTTTTTAAAATTTGATTAACAATGTGGGCCTTCTTCCCAGGAAAATGACATGTACACAATTTTGTGTGTAATTTTGGGGATACACGAACCTCTGCATTAATGCATTAATATCACATAGTTTGTCTTGAAAACCATATTTTCTTTTTTTTTGTTTGTTTATTGAGATGAAATCTTGCCCTATTGCCCACGCTGGAGTGCAGTGGTACACTCTAGCCTCCGTTTCCTGGGTTCAAGCAATTTTCCTGCCTCAGCCTCCCGAGTAGTTGGGATTACAAGTGGCTGCCGTCACAGCCTGGCTAATTTTTGTATTTTTAGTAAAGATAGACTTTCACTAGGTTGGCCAGGCTGGTCTCAAACTCCTGACCTCAGGTGATCCACCCTCTGCGGCCTCCCAGAGTGCTAGGATTACAGGTGTGAACCACTGCACCTGTCCAGAAAACGTATTTTCTTGGAATTAAATTTATAGTTTTTCCTGCTAAAAGTTGCCCTCAAATAATAAAATATGTTAAACTAGTCCTTAGTAAATGAATTACCACATAAAGCTTGAGTGCAGTCATCATGGATGAGACAGATGACAGCTTCAGATTTCAGCCTCACACGTCAACACTTTCTACAATAGCATTTCACAATGTTAAAAAAGAACAAACTACTTTCCTGTTGTCATCCTCCTCCTTGCTGTCATCACTTTCAAACACTGTTGCTAAATGTTATGGACTGTCATTACTAGACACAGACATGCATGCTCACACACGTGCGCGCATCCGCGCACGCGCACACACACACACACACACAGATTCACTGTTAGATTATTTAAAAGCAGTTTTCATAGATACAGCATGGTTTTTCTGTTTAGCTATTTCTTAATGACATTGGATCGTCTTTTTTTTTAAATGAAATTGGATTATCTTATAATGACCATTTTCTCCCTGCCTTCTCTCTTATATCTAAAGAAATATTAATGACAGTTTATCTTCAGAGAAAATCTTTCCTTCTCTAAACTAGCATATTGACAAGACATAGTTCAGCCACAAGTTATGGTAGGAGATGCACTTGGGTCATACAGCCTCCCAATGCACAGATGGCGACTTTTCAGTACCATCTGTTCACTGTTTCTGCACAGCCATTTACCATTTCTCCCCCTCTATGACGGATGAATAGAAAAAAATCAAAAAGTAGTCAGACCTAGTTTTAGAGTTCCTAGAAATTAGTTATTCTTTCCCCTCACTTTTTCCTACCATTCAGTAAAGGTTACGGCTCCTCATTCTAAATATTCTAGTCATTAGTTTACACAGACCCTTATTTGATATTTATTGGTGCTAAGTACTATGCAATTTACAAGTAACAGAAGAACACATTGTCAGTCTACTGTGTATGCTTGAAAAAATAATCACATAAAGCAATCTGTTCTTTTCCTTCCTTTAACTTTGTAGAGGATACATAAATAATCTACTTATTCCTTATAATTAAGAGCTGAATCAGCCAGGCACGGGGTCTCATGGTGGGAATCCCAGCACTTTGGGAGGCCGAGGCAGTTGGATCATCCGAGGTCAGGAGTTGAAGACCAGCCTGGCCAATGTGGTGTAACCCCATCTCTACTAAAAATACAAAAATTGGCTGGGGGTGGTGAAGCCTGCCTGTAATTCCAGCTACTTGGGAGGCAGAGACAGAATTGCTTGAACCTGGGAGGCAGAGGTTGCAGTGAGCCAAGATTGTGCCACTGCACTCCAGCCTGGGCAACAGAGCAAGACTCCATCTTAAAAAAAAAGCTGAATCATTGGTCACTTCTCTTGTCGAAAGCACTTGATATTCTTCTGATATTAAACAGATGGAAACATAACAGGTTATATTTCGCCCTGCAGCATGCATAGTGAGGAATACTAAAAGCTGGCAGAAATATTAGTTCCTGACCTTGGCAAATCCTTTCTAAATTTTTCTTTGTGAGCTTTTTGTCCTTTTCATCTCCAGGCAAGACCTTTGCTTTCTGGAGAGGAGAAAGATTTCACTTTAGACTGTCTAATTGTCACATTATGATGCACAAATAGCATTCCACTTGTACTATATAGGAGAGTTTTGACTTGTGACTAAATAGAAGACTCAACAAGAGGAGTGACTGAATGGTGTACTTACTTTTGCCTTATGGATTTATTGGTAAAAGATCATGATCTATTAAAATGTATAAGGTAGGGCCGGGCACGGTGGCTCACACATGTAATCCTAGTACTTTGGGAGGCTTAGGTGGGCAGATCGCCTGTAATTATTTTAAATACCAAAAAATTAGCCAGGCATGGTGGCACGCCCCTGTATTCCCAGCTTCTCAGGAGGCTGAGGTAAGAGAATCAATTGAACCTGGGTGTTGGAGGTTGCAGTGAGCTGAGATCATGCCGTTTCACTCTAGCCTGGGTGAAAGACAAAACTCCGTCTCAAAAAAAAAAAAAAAAAAAATGTATAAGGTAAAGATTTTGCTTAAATACTCTCTTAGAATTACTTGCTCATGTTTGTTCTTTTTTTGGTGGGTGGTCTGATGTTGACATTGTAGAACTTCAAGGCTTCCCATTTTTCCCTAGTAAGAGGTTTTCTGTTTCCGTAGTCCTCACATGTTATTAAGACTACTTGTGTCATAATCCTGTATGATTATTGATAGGAATGATATTTTGTCCTAAGCTTCAGAGTAACTTTGCCTCTTAATTCTTTGGATACTATTCATATTTTAATATTGTTATCTTCCTTTCTACTTACCAGTTTTCTAGTCTTTGCCATCCTTCTTATATACATTTCCAAAGCAAGAGCTATCTTTTTTATTGGTTATTGGAGTCAGTATATGTTATAAGTACTTTTTGGAACTCTTCTAGATAAGTTTCAGTGAAACCTTGGAGTATATCTGATAAAAATTATATGAAAGCTGTGGCAGATGCCAGGGGTATTATATATCCTTCTGTGATTACTACTTTGTTGGTTTTTTTTGTAGGGGGGCATGGTCTCACTCGGTTGCTTGGGCTGGAGTACAGTAGCGTAGTCATAATTCACTGCAGCCTCAAACTCCTGGGCTCAAGGAAACTTCCTGCTTCAGACTCTCCTGTAGCTAGGACGACAGGCATGCACCACCACAGCTGGCTAATTTTCTAATTTTTCATAGAGATGGGGGTCTCAGAAAAAGATCCCAGGCTGGTCTCAAACTTCTGGCCTCACATGATCCTCCTGCCTCAGTTTCTCATAGCAGTGAGATTACAGACGTGAGCTACTGTGCCCCGCCCTGAACTCCACACTGATTCTTGTTATCCCTGAATTAGACTTGATTGCTAAAATTTAAGAAACCAGATAGTTTCTGTGCTCATTTTATAAGTTGTATATGATGTTATCTAAGGGTCTAGTTTGAGTTAGGTTTTGGAGCCTCCACTCTTCACAGTGAGCAGTTGTTTGGTTATGCTGTTTATATTGGGGTGATTCCGTTCTTTAAAGTAGAATGATCATGGAGTGACTTTAAAAAAGGGATAGTATCAATTTCTCCAGAATTCATACTTGGCTGATTTGGTTCTGTTTAGTCTTTAGGATATAATTGTTTTTTGTTTTCTTTTGTTCTGTTTTTGAGACAAACTCACTTCGTGGCCCCAGCTGGAGTGCAGTGGTGTGATCTTGGCTCACTGCAGCCTCTGCCTCCAGGGTTCAAGCAGTTCTCATGCCTCAGCCTCCCAAGTAGCTGAGATTACAGGCGTGTACCACCATGCCTGGCTAATTTTTGTATTTTTAGTAGAGATGGGGCTTTGCCATGTTGGCCAGGCTGGTCTTAAACTCCTGGCGGATCCAGGTGATCCACCTGTCTCAGTCTTCCAGAGTGCTGGGATTACAAGTGGAAGCCACTGCACCCGGCCTTTAGGATATAATTGAATGTTAAAATTTGATGATTTAAGTATAACAGTCATGTTATTCTTATTATTTTCTTTTAAAATTGCTTTTAATAGCATACTACCTTTCTTTACCTCTTCTGTCCAGGCTTTCAAGTGTAGCACTCAAAACGGATAATTTTTCTCTTTAAAGAAAGATTATACACTTGGGGAGGAGTTTGAAGGTACAATTTGTAATAATTTAACTAACATTCAACATGTGTGCTTTTGGATTTTTTAGCTTTGAGGGTTCATTTTTGTCTTTAAGCATAGCATAATGTCCTTTGTTTGTTATGATTTCATCTGAGAAATACTACTCAGATGAAATCTCTTACCTTTCCACCGGGGAGTAGGCCTCCCAAGAGCAGTATGCCTGGATTTTCAGCCTTTGCTCACCCTTGGCCATGCATTCTTGTGCAGTAAACAGCATGAAGCACCCTGCGTGGTAGTCTTTCAGATTCTGAACTTTGCATTAGTTTGGGATTGTTTTGAAAAGTCTGTTATAGCAAAAGTAACATATATTGAAGAAAAATTATGTCTATCAAAATTCTAAAACTAAAAATATAGCAGAAGAGATACAATAGTGTTTCTGTTGCAGAATAGTATGAAAACCTGATGAAAGTAAAAATTTTAACTCTAAGTATAGTACTTAAAAATTACTATTCTATAGTTTTATATAATACCTTACATTAAATTTTATTGCATTAATAATATATATATATATATAAAATTATTCTTTATTTTTGGATTGAGAAACATTAGCTTGTTTGCCATAACATTTAGAGCATTCTGATCCTGTAATTAATGTGTTATATGTCATACAAATAATTGTCTAATGCTTTGTTTTAACAGTTCTGTACGTCTGTTGGAATTCACATCTTGTAATTGAGCTTTTGGTTTTTCCTACTTCCTCAGGTACTTTGGTCTAGGAAGCCATATGGTTCATCTCGAAGTATCGTAAGGAAAATTGGTACTAATTTGTCTTTGATTCAGTGTCCAAGAGTTCAGTTTCAGGTACTATATTTTACATATTTTAAGTATTGTATTAATATGTACATTAGAAATATAAATAGGCAGGATGGTTTTAAAAGTATTGTTTTTGAGACTTTTCATTTTTTGATGCCACTACTAATACAATAAAAGAGGATTAAAAACCACGGTGAAGTCTTTCTAATTTTAGTTTCTCTGTGAAGTGATTGAGATCTTTAAGACGTTTATCCTTCTTAAGGATGCATATGTGAAGATTTAGAAGCATATAATAAGCTAAACAGTTGTTAATTCCTAGTTGACCTCAAACACAGGCCTTATATTATTTCTGGTGCTTCATGTCCCACCATTATTTTTCTTCTGTCGTTATACCTTCCTCTTTGGACATCCGCTCTGTTACCCTGCTTTATTTTTAGATGTCTCTGTGGATGCCATATAAGTTGTTTTCCCTTTCATTGGTCTCAAGCTCAGCATTAATTATAGAATCCATGGCCTTAGCAATGACAGTGTCAAGACAAAAAGGTAATTGTGGTTCTCTCAGTGAGGTGATAGTCAAACCGTGAATTATGAGAACTTTTGAAGGCTTTAGTTTTAGTACAGTATTCTCTTTTAGCACCAAATCTGGAGCAGCTCTACTCTTTGCTTGGAGATACTGCTATTTTCCTTTTCCTTGATTTTTGCTTTTTTTTTTTTTGAGGCAGAGTCTTGCTCTGTCACAAGGCTGTAGTGTAGTGGCACAATCTCGGCTCATTGCAGTCTACACCTCCTGGGTTCAAGCCATTCTCCTGCCTCAACCTCCTGAGTAGCTGGGATTACAGGCGCACACCACCATGCCCAGCTCATATATATTTAGTAGAGACAGGGTTTCACCATGTTGGCCAGGATGGTCTTGATCTCTTGAGCTCATGATCCGCCCACCGTGGCCCCCCAAAGTACTGGGATTACAAGTGAGAGCCACTGCGCCTGGCCTTTGACATTGATCACATAGACATTGATCACATAGCTCTGTTCTTTTTCATTTTAGTAATTCTTTACAACCATAATATAACAACATTTCAGTTCAACATTCAATAATATAAAATTCAACAGATACCGCTGCCACTTTTAAATAATAGATTAACATGTGGAGATATGGAAGATGTATTTAACTCATCATTCAGAAGTTCAGAAGTGCCCACGTGTACCCGTTTGATAATATGTCATGTTCATAAATCACTCCTGCTAAATGGAGATGAAAATCTGTTTCTTTGTTTTCTTTTTTTGTGACAGAGTCTCACTCTGTCACCCAGGCTGGAGTGCAGTGGTGTGATCTCGGCTCGCTGCAACCTCCACCTCCCAGGCTCAAGCGATTTCTCCTGCCTCAGCCTCCTGGAAAATCCGTTTCTAAATAAGTGGTAGAAATTAGCATTTATTCAGGTTGACTGACAAGGTTGTTCATTGCTGTGTATAATCCTGCTCACAGATTGACTGGCTAAACCTTTGTGCATCAATCTAGAAATTGACAGATTGGAACTTTCCAAGAAGTAATTTTTTATTAAACTCTAGGCTTTTTTTTAAACTCATGAAGTCAAACAATGCAAAGCCTTTTTTTTTTTTAAATAATCAAAATGAAGAAATCTGTGGTAGTAAGTCTCTCAAGTACAGTTTACAAGAATTTTGTTTGTTTATACATGAATTGCTGCTTATTTTATTTGCCAGTTTCCTTCAAATAGCTATTATGTTAACAAAGGCTCATAAACTTTTTTCTGATTGTTCAGTTCCATCAATTTCATTCTAGTTAATTATCTTACCATTCTCCTAGTTGCAGGAAAACTTGCTTCAGCAGTTGTGTTCTGGAGATATCTAGCATTTTCTGATTGTAACCCAAGTCTGCCTTGGCAGTCTACGGGCTGAAGTACTAGATTCAAGTACATTTACTCGGGAGAATTCTCTTTCCCAATGTTATCAGTCTCTTTAAAAGGGTAGAAGCAGAAAAAGAGTATTAGATTCAACTAATTTAATCTGCATTTGAAAAGAAATGGATTAATATAAGGAGAAGAATAAGGTAAGAGAAACACTGATGACCTACTTAAGAATGTAGTGAGAGACGGAAGCCGTTTGTTTATAGTGAGATTTTTATTTCCAGGCATACTGAGTCTTTTTTTTTTTTCTTTGAGACGGAGTTTTGCCTGTCACCCAGGCTGGAGTACAATGGTGCAATCTCAGTTCACTGCAACCTCCGCCTCCCAGGTTCAAGCGATTCTCCTGCCTCAGCCTCCCGAGTAGCTGAGATTACAGGCATGTGCCACCACGCCCAGCTAATTTTGTATTTTTAGTAGAGATGGGGTTTTTCCATGTTGGTCAGACTGGTCTCAAACTCCCAACCTCAGGTGATCCGCCCACCTTGGCCTCCCAAAGTACTGGGATTACAGGCATGAGCCACCATGCCTGGCCCTGTTATTGCCACTTCATAGTTGCGGAACAAATTATTTTATTTGGTTTTCTAATTTAACTCCTTTGGGAGGGGGACAAGGGATAAAAGACAACATATATGGTGCAGTGTGTACTGCTCGGGTGATGGGTGCACCAGGATCTCACAAATTACCACTAAAGAACTTATTCATGTAACCAAATACTGCATGTACCCCAATAATTTATGGAAAAATAATAATTTTAACTTCCTTGTGTTACAGATTGGATTATGTATATTTTATAGGGTCACAAATTAGAACACATGCCAACACATTTAGTTACACCTTCATCCAATTAATGGGCACAGTGAATATTGTGCTGGCAATAAAATGAGGTGATAGATGTAAAAAGCCCTATGAAAGATACCCAATACATGTTTCTTTGCTGTGTTATTGAAGACCTGCCTAGAAGCTCATAGGAGTTAACACTTCTGCTGTACTTCAGTTAGCTCTAGGAACAAATTGACTAATTTATACTCAAAACAGGATCTCTAGACCCTTCACATTTACTATGGTTGAAGAAAGCTAACTTTCCCTGGCCCTTTTCTACCTTTCACATATGTACATTTCAGCACACCTACACACTTGTGGTCTAAGCATTTTGTGTATTTGGATATTGTTTTCCTTTTGGAAGTAGGAACTAGATTAAACACACTAAGAGAATAGGCCTTACTTTGTCTCCTAGTTCTCTTCTAGATTCATGACATCAAAAGAAAATTCAGTTCATGGAGCAGCTTGCAAAAGCAGTAAACTTGGGGGGATAAGGAGGAGCCGGATGCAGAGGTTTTAATTTGCAGTGGTTCTTTTTTTTTTTTTTAATTATTTTTTTGAGACAGAGTCTTGCTCTGTCACCCAGACTGGAGTGCAGTGACTTGATCTTGGCTCACTGCAACCTCCACCTCCTGGGTTCAAGAGATTCTCTCCTGTCTCAGCCTCCCACGTAGCTGGGATTACAGGCGTGCATCACCACGCCGAGCTAATTTTTGTATGTTTAGTAGAGAGGGGGTTTCACCACATTGGCCAGGCTGGTCTTAAACTCCTGACCCCAGGTGATCACCTGCCTTGGCCTGCCAAAGTGCTGGGATTATAGGTGTTAGCTACTGCACCTGGACTGCAATGGTTCTTTTTTTGTTTTCCTTTCCCACCTATTCCAGGAAAACTGCAATGGTTCTTAACACTGGGTGCATATAAATCATCAGGAGTGTTTAAAAAAAAAACAACCCTTGCTTAGGCCTCATTCTCCAGTGTGGCTCTATATGCTTCCCTGCCTCTGTACTAAAACTCTTATAGAGCTTTTAAAGAAATATAAGACCTGTTTTATAGCTTACTGAATCTGAATTTCATGCATTTGTTATTTAAAAACCTCTTCAGGATCCTATGCAGCTAAAGTTGAGGACCTTAGGCATAGTTTTGTTCAGCGTTTTACTACAGAAAGTTTGTGTTTACCAACACATTTAAACAGTGACATTAACTTTAAAAAACAGTGACATTATCTATTGGCAATTGTTAAATATTCACGAAAGCACTTTTGGGGTACATTTTAATGCACTTTAATTTCTATAAGTTAAAGAAAAACATAGAATGTAAGTGTAGTATATTGGGGTATTACTACATTAAAAAAAAATCTTAAGGCAAAATACCCCCAAAAATGTGATCCTGGGTATTACCAAGAGAGGCGCTTCAGAATAACCTGGATTGAGAAGTTGGCTTTGTGGTTATAGTAGTTTGAATCCCAACTCTGTTGGGTAATTTCACCCTTTTGTCTCTGGTAATTTTAACCCAAGCTATTTTCTTGAAATACAAGGAGTGGTTGTTGGAATTGATGGTGGAAAGGACTGTTCAGTAATGAATGAGATTCCTACTAAAGCTTACACACAGCGATTAAATCTGGAAGTAAAATGGCCATTTGTTATGGCAAACTTTTACATAGCAAGTAAACTTGAAGTCCATGCATTATGCTAGGTGTTGGTGTTGAGTAGTGAATGAAACAGACACATATGTCTGCCCTTGTTGGTTATATGATTCAGTGGGGAAGATATTTTAAAAGTAAATATGCCAATAAAGGTATAACTATAATTTGTAATAAATGCCATATAGGAAAATGTAGTATAGCTTGGGGGGAGAATATCAGGAGTGCTCAGGGAAGGCCTCTCTAAAGGAATGACAATTCAGGATTACAAAGAGCCTGCTCTGCAGGGTTAAGGAGACATGTAGAGGTTGAGGGAGTCATTGTGTGCAGAGAGAATAGCATGTGCAGAGATCGTAAGGCCAGACAGAAGTTGTTTGAGGGATCAAGAGAAGGTTCCAGTCGATCAGGAACTACTAAAGTGGGAGACTTGGTAGTATGGTATAGTGATCTTTGAACATCTGAGCTGTCTGAAGATGCATACCTGGATTCATATAAAATAACTGTTAAATTTAGCCCTGTGTTTCGGTAACTACTAGATAATTTGGAATATGCTAGCATGTGATGTCATACTGTGTATGATGTTTATTTTTTGGTATTTTTAGTTATAATTTTATAGCCAGTTGTTCCTTAAAGATTATTGAATCCATCTACAAATAGCATGTTTTATA